GTTGATACGACAGTTCGTGTTCGTAATGTTCCAGAACTCAGGGGTGGATGTAATGGTGCTTATATACGACTGAGGTGGTTTAAAGAGTTTAAATGCTACAAGATCTATCGTTGGTATAATGTGCACAACCATGACATGATTCCTGAGTCTCTGCGTCACTATGTGAGATCCAGCAGACGAATGGCTCCTGTGTATAAGATGTTGGCAGAGGTGAATGATGCTGCTGGTATTGGTGTGACTTCTTCGTATAATGCAATTAGTAGGGCTGGTGGTGGTCGGAAGTTTGTTGGGTTCACAAAGAATGATTTGAAGAACCATCTGCGAACGGTTAGGACGTTATCAATGGAGTATGGTGATGCGACTGCATTGCTTGAATACTTTAGACGTCAAGCACAGCTGGATCCTGGGTTCTTTCATGAGGTGGAGGTTGATGTTGAAGAGAACATTGCTAGTATTTTTTGGGCAGATGGGAAGATGAGGATGGATTATCATTATTTTGGTGATTCAATTAGTTTTGATACTACTTACCGGACTAACAAAGAGTATCGGCCACTAGGTATGTTTTCTAGTTTGTTGTTTATTATTGTCTTTGTTAGTTTGTATGATTATTATTATTATTATCATTGTGTATCATGTTTTTTTTTGTTCTTACAAGTCTGTACCATATGGTATGGGTTGGTATGGATTGCTTTTTTGTTCTTAAAAGTATTTTACCATATGGTATGTGTTGGTAACAAGGTTATTTGAGGTGGTTTTTGGGTTGTTAGAAGTTTGTACTATATGGTATGGGCTGGTATGCATTGTGTTTTTGTTCTTAAAAGTCTTTTACCATATGGTATGGGTTGGTAACAAGGTTATTTGTGGTGGTTTTTGCGTTGTTAGAAGTGTGTACTATATGGTAGTCTGGTATGGATTGTTTTTTTTTGTTCTTAGAAGTCTTTACCACATGGTATGAGTCTTTACCATATGGTATGGGTTGGTATTATTGTTATTCGTACCTTTTACCACATGGTATGTGTTGGTAGAATTGTTTTTACTCACATTTTGTTATGTTTTTGTAGCTTTGTTTGTTGGTTTCAACAATCATCACCAACTGACTGTCTTTGCGGCTGCTCTTCTATATGATGAAACAACGGCAACATTTGAATGGCTTTTCGATCAGTTTTTGAAATGCATGGGAGGTGTGAGACCGTTATCAATGTTTACTGACCAGGCTGCTGCAATTGCTGCTGGTATAAGGTCTGTTTTCCCAGATTGTTTTCATGGGTTGTGTACATGACATATTGCTCAGAATGCAGTTGTTAATATGGGAAGTTTGTGTGACTCTGACTTCCTTCGTGAGCTTAGTTATTTGATGTATAATGCTGATGATGAGGATGATTTTGAGTATAATTGGAAGAAGATTATTGAGAAGTGTTTTCCTGGGAAGGGACATTTGGGACACAGTTGGTTACAGGGCATTTACAAAGTCAGGACGAAGTGGTCTTCAGCCTGGGTGAATTGTCATTTTGGTGCGGGAATGAAGAGTACCCAGCTAAGTGAGTGCTGCAATAGTAATATTCGACATTACTTGCAGTCAGAGTTTAGCGTTAGTAGGTTCTTTGTGCACTTTGAGAGGATGCTTGATAATAAGAGGGATGCTGAAGAACAAGAAGAGTACTATGCCTTATCTAGGTTGGCTGATTCTCGGTTTTCTACTAGCCCTATTGTGAAGCAAGTTGCTAATGTGTATACGCCGAAGATATTCAAGTTTTTCCAGGATCAGTACAAGGAATCTCTTGCGTATAATATTTTTTCCAATACGGAGATAGAACCAGAAGGACATGTAGGACTGTTTGATGTCTTCATATTGGAGGATGACCTTACAAGGTTGGATAGTAGGGTGTTGAAGGTTGATTTTGAAAACGGTGAAATCAAGTGTTCCTGCCGTAAGTGGGAGTCAAGTGGTATGATCTGTAAGCATCAAATTAAGGGATATGATATGTTGTGGTCTACAACATGCAATCTGAAGTTCCAGCACATTCCTAGCAGTTTGATTTTGAAGCGGTGGACAAGGGCAGCGAAAACTGGAGGGAACTTTTCTTTTGAAGTTCCGTCTACTGATAGTCCATCGAAATACCGTTCTCGTCTTTTCAATCTGTCAGCTGTTTCTGCATCAATGATAAGCAGGGTTGCATTGGATGATGATTTGTATAAATCAGCCATGGCCTTCATGACTGATTTGATCAAAAAGTGTGAAGCCCTATCGATTACTGAACCTGCTGGAACAAGCACGTCTTCTAACGGTGACAGTAAGTTTTTAATTGTTTAGAGTTTTGTGTTTTGATATATGCATTTTTTTTAGGAGAATGATTTTATATATATCTGTCATTGATTGTAGTTTGTTTTTGTTATCTTGGTATAGATGATGTACCGGTCCAAAAAGTGAAGGGGTTTAAGCCTAAAAAAGATTCATTCAAGCCTTCGAAACGACCAATTCCAGTTGCGGAGGCTGCAAGGGCTGTAAGTAAGAAGAAGAGAAAAACTAGCAGGCTTGAGGAGGAGAATTTGAAGGCTGTTGAAGAAAGTTTAAGGCTGAAGCTGTAATAGTTTTCTTAGAGGATTATTTGAATGAATGGTTGATACTGGTTGAGTTGTTGAAGCTATTTTGTTCTTTTGGATTGGTTTTTGGTTTGTTGGATTAATTTTACAATGTCATACCATGTGGTATAATGTGGTAATTTGATTTTATCATGTCAAACTAGGTGGTAAAATGTGCTATTTTTGGAAGTTGAATGTGAAGGTTCTGTTTTATAACTGATTTTACCATGCCATACCATGTGGTATAGTGTGGTAGTTTGGAAGTTCTGTGTGATAATTGAGTTTACATTTGCCATACCATATGGTAAAATATGATCATTTGGAAGTGGCATGTGTGGTAATTGATTTTACAGTGAATTACCATGTGGTAAAATGTGGTAATTTGGAAGTTAAATGTGAGGGTTCTGTGTGATAATTGATTTTACCATGCCATACCATATGGTATAGTGTGGTAATTTGATTTTACCATGCCATACCATATGGTATAGTGTTGTAATTTATTTTTACCATGTCATACCATGTGGTAAAATATGGTATTTTGGAAGTGGCATGTGTGGTAATTGATTTTACAGTGCATTACCATGTGGTAAAATGTGGTAATTTGATTTTACCATGCCATACCATATGGTATAGTGTGGTAATTGATTTTACCATGCTATACCATATGGTATAGTGTGGTAATTTGATTTTTACCATGCCATAGCATGTGGTAAAATGTGGTAATTTGGAAGTTCTGTGCGGTTAATTGATTTTACATTGCATACCATGTGGTAAAATATGGTATTTTGGGAATTAAGAACACATGTTAAGTATTTGCTAACATAATAAAAAACAGAACATTTCATTTAGTCATAATACAAACCATAATAAGTTGTTTCATACCATCCTACTAATTAAAATGAAGTGGCTACTGAACATTGTGAGTTTGTTCTCAAAAGCTTACTTATACCCTCCTACTACTTAACACAAACGATAATAGAATTTTCATCTCCTTCCTTTCAACTCTTTCTTCTTGTTCTTCATGTTGCAGTACTTTGTTGCTTCTTTCATGATCCTTTCCCGTTCAAGATTTTCTTCATCAAGAATGATGTCCAACATCAGGCACTCCCTTTCTTCATTTATGAGATCAATCCTCTTCCAATCTTTGGTCAGGGCACTGTTGTACTTACCTTCCCAGTGTCTCATCCACCTGATGATGTACATCCCACATGAAATTTGATCTGGTTGTGTAACCTTCTCGAGGTTGAACCAGGTAAACCTTTCCCACCTTACTGTCTTCTCTGCAAACTGTGTCTTCATGTAGTTGATTGCGTACTGGACAACCCTCTTTGCCATTGGTTTGTAGGTTTCTTCAAAATCTTTGTGACGGAGACTGTCGAGTACTTCAAATCTCTCTGCTTTGATGTTGACACAAATCATGATGTAGTGCTTGTTATTACAGTAAGGGAAGAACCACTGCAAAATAATTTTACCACAGTATACCATATGGTAAGCAGTTGCCATATAAGTGATGAACAGTAAGTTAAGAACCATTGCAAACTAATTTTACCACTATATACCATATGGTAACCACTGCAAACTAATTTTAGCACTATATACCATATGGTAACCACTGCAAAAATTGTGGTGAGATACTTACAAGGATACATTCTGTGAAGCTGAGGTTTTTTGCCCATTCTTTGTTGGTGATGTCCAAGTCCAGTTTGTCGTAGTAATCGTCTGGAGATAGTACAGGATTGCCACTATCAATGTCCAGTTGGCAGTCACCCTGAAAGTTGTGGTTGTTATTATGTGTTTTATATATGTGTTGTCTAAGAACTATTGACAGAATATGGGTGGGTTTACTTACTGCCAAAGATGTATCGAAGAACCACCTTTTGAATTTTCCTTTTTGTGCTTCATTCCTGTTCATTACATCTCCATACCAGTCGATGACATCAGATGTGATTTCACAGCCAATGCCAATCAACTGTACTGACTCCCTTTTCAGCAAGAATGTTCCATCCTTCCTTTTAAACATTATCTCATCACTGTATAAAAGCACATCACAACAGGACGGATGGTTTACTTTAATTTATGACATCAAACAATAGGTTACCACAACAAAACCATAGCTTACCACATCTTACCATATGGTAATAAGTAAAACACACCAGCTTACCACATCTTACCATATGGTAATAAGTAAAATAGAACAGGAGTTATGGTTTAATCCATTCTTTAACAACAAACCTTAGCTTACCACATCATACCATATGGTATTAAACTAAAACAAAACAGGACTTGTGCATTACTACATTTTGTAACATTAAACCATAGATTTATCTAATTTTACCATATCTTACCATATTTTACCATATGGTAACAAACTAGATCACTACAGTAAAATCATATAACGGTAGAAGTTTTAAGATGATGACTTACCTCTTGACAAATTTCTTGTTTTTGCATCTTATGTACTCCAGGATGTTGTTGAACATATCATCAGGTGTTTTTTGTGTTGGTGTTGACCATTCAACTGGTGATTTTTGTGATTGTGGAGCAACTGGTTCGACAGTTGGAGAATTCAGGTCCTCTAGGTAAGCATCTATGCATTCACGGACTTCCTTGAGCTTCTCTTGGCTGTTTGTGTACAGATTTGACCATATAGCATATGACTCCGTCTGTGACTGGGTGCTTTGTGGCTGTGCTGGTGGTGGTGTTGCTCTTGCCTTCTTTTCATTTCCGTGCACATTCTTCACCACAATTCTTCTTTTGCGAGGCTCTCCTGGTTGATCGGTTGCCGTGTTGGTAGTCAACTTCGTTGGTGTTGTTGGTGTTTGACGGTTGAGAGGGCTGAGATCAAAGGATGGAATGTCGTCTTCCCTTGTCACTTTAGGCTTCTCAGCAGCTTCGGTTGTCAGTTTTGGAGCCTCTTCTCGAACAACATCATCTGACACCGTTTTCTCGCTGTCAGTTTCTGCAGTCTTTTGCGCAGCTTGCCCTGTATTCCCTTCTTCTGTTGTTTCCTTATCAACTTCCATTGGATCTGCTATTTTGGTAGCTCCTTTTTTTCCTGTTTCTTTTGCATATGTCTGTTCTGGAACTGCTTTCGGGGTGTCCTCTTGTTGTGGTGTTCCCTGATTCAGACCTTCTTGAACAGATTGTTCTGGTGGTTCTGTTGCAACTTCCCCCAGTGGACCTCCTTCTTTTGGGATGCTTTCCCTATTCACAGCTCCTGGAGCAGAATCATCTTGCTCCTTTTCTTTTGGCTTCGGTGTAGATGCAGCAAGATCGACTGTAGATGGTTGTGAATCATCTTCTTTCTGTGTTTGCTCCTCGTTCTCCTCTTCGTTCTGGTCTATGTTTGTCTGTTTGAATATTTCATTGAGTGTTTTATTCAAACTGGCATTCATTTCTTTATCATTCTCTTCTTCATCATCTTCACAATGAAATTTTTCTCCTTCTGTTGGCTGAACATTTTCATCACAGCTTTCTTTCGCAAGATTCTCCTTGTGTCTGATCAGATTGTCAATTTGGCTTTTGTACTGGTCTTTGATTGCTTTCATCATTGCCTTCATTGATGCTTCAAGCAGTTTGATTGCATTCTCAGCCTGCATAATGGGAGTTTTTGTAAGATACCATGGTGGTAATGTGTGTATGGTGTATGGTTAGTTACCATGGTGGTAATACATGGTATTGGCAATTATTATTACTATTCTGCATTTTTATAACATGAAACTATATCTTACCACACCTTACCATATGGTAACAAAGTAAAACAGAACAAGAATTATGGTTTCCTCCATTTTTATAACATGAAACCATTGATTACTACACATTACCATATGGTAACGTATTAAAACACAACAGGACTTATGTTTTCCTCCATTTTTATAACATGAAACCATAGCTTACCACACCTTACCATATGGTAACAAACTAAAACACAGCAGGACTTGTTGTTTTTTGCTATTTTTAAAACATGAAAGCATAGCTTACCACACATTACCATATGGTAACAAAGTAAAACAGAACAAGAATTATGGTTTCCTCCATTTTTATAACATGAAACCATTGCTTACCACACATTACCATATGGTAACGAAGTAAACCACAACAGGACTTATGTTTTGCTCCATTTTTATAACATGAAACCATAGCTTACCACACCTTACCATATGGTAACAAACTAAAACACAGAAGGACTTACGCTTAGTATGAATTGGACAACTGTAATATAGATAATTTGTACTTACTTGGTTGACTGTTCTGATATTCTTCAAATCAAAGTTCAGTGATGATGACTGGTCTGGACTTTTGTTTCTTTGTCTTTTCGGTGATTCATAGACTGGCTCATTCTCCTCTTCCTCATCAGCTGCATCATCAGCCTCATCGTCACTAATGTTGGCAAGCTTTTCGATCTCGTTCAACTCTTTTCCATTGTAGTAGCTCTTAATGTTCTCAAAGTTGCTATCAACATTGTTATCATCATAGTAGCTTACTGTTGGTGTTCGAAGCTGGGTTGAGAATGCCATTTCGTCCAGTTTGTACATGAAGCATGGATTACGAAACCGTACCGGACATCAAACCGGAATCGTCTTTGGCATGGTAAATCGTGGTACAACCATGGTTCAACCGTTTCCTACCGGTAAATACCGTTTTTGGAATAAAAAATTTATTTTTTTATTAAAAAACCGTACCGCCAAAATTAGGGTACCATACCGGGAAAATACCGGAGTAAAACCGGATTATACCGCAGGTTTAAACCATACTTACTCATTCCCACTGTGATTATCAACAACCCCACAACAAAAAGATTTCAACTTATCAGCCTAATCACAAAAAATTTCATTCGGATGGGCAAGAAATTTGAGAAAGGCGGCAATTAAAACAGCAGAAAGAACAATCCAAATCCAAAGATATAAAGAAGAAGATCCATCGATTCTGTGAAAAATTACCTTTGGAATACGAAACCAATTGCTTGCAGCGCCAACGGAGGCGATGATTTCGCTGTCGAAGAAATTAATTCCAGTTGTTCCCGCGGCAGCAACTGGAAAATTGAAGCGGGGAAAAATTGAAGAAATTACTAACCGCGCAGCAACCGGATTTGGGGGAGACGGGATCGTCCTCATCGTCGTCTTCGGTTGCTGGGGAGTGGGGAGGACGAGTCGCCGGCTGTTTGGTTGCTGCCTTGCTGGGGAGGACGCTGTCGCCGGGAGTTCGAGAGGCAGAGCGGCGCGGGGCGGGGAGACGACAGGCAGAGCGGCGGTGCGGCGCGGGGACACATATGAGAGAAACTAAATCAAGAAAAAAATTCAACAAATATACTTATGTACAATAGTAAAAGAGCACCTAATCTCTTTGATAAATAAAAAAAAAACAGAACGTCCAAGTTTGTAGCCCTTCATCAACTTCCAGCCCTGCAAATTAACAAAACAACAATACAACCATTTGTTCCACCTGGCAGTATATATAAGTATTAACCGTTTCGGAGTTGGAAAATGGGCTAGGGGAACCAATCTTTGCCAACCGGCCCAAAAACTGATGAATGGCCCAACCTTAATGAATCCTAATAATTGCTTAGCTAGATGGACCCAAAGCCCAAACCTAGAGCCGAAGCTCTTAACCTAGACAGCCACACCCACCCCCTTCTTCCCCGCAGCCGCATGTGACTCTCAAATCCCCTCTCTCTAATCTCCCTCACCAGTCACCGCCTGTCCACACGCCAATCCAATCGTTCAACACCTTCTTCCTTCCTAATCGTACAACCATCCATCTCTTCAAACGTAAACAAGATCTGATGATGATTCCCAACTCAGGTAACTCAGCATGTGGCTGATTTTAACAGCAATATCGTTCATCATCTATCGACCAATATCCTCCCTCCAGTTCAAGATCTCTCTGATCAACCAAGGCTCTTCAGATGCAGATCCGACCTCTTGGCTTCCCTCCACAAACCCGACCGGCGATTCCATCCAAATCGATAGTCATCACCGTCGTCAGTTCCTTTTCTCTTTCGCTCTATCCCTGTGAAATACAAACGCGGATTATCCAGCAAAAATCGCGCTCCAACAGATAATAAATCGCGATTTTTTCTCGAATTCATTCAAGATCGCGCTTTTGGGCTCTAAAGCGAGCACCTACCCATTTCACACGAATTGTGTGACCTAAGTTTCTCCTCTGCTTAATGCTTTCCGTTTGTTTTTTTTTTTACTTTGCGTCAAAACGGCGCCGTTTAGTAAAATGAAGCGGACCGCTATTGTTATTAAAACCGGACGAAATTCCGGCCCATTGTGGTCCAACCGAAAATACCGGCCGGCATGATTCTGGAGGGTACAAAGCCCTTATTGGGCCGTTTCAGCTCCGGTTTCCGGTTTTCCCGGTCTGACCGGCCGGTCCGGTACGGTTTCCTGGTCTCTGACATGAAGCATACCTTTTTATGCAGATAGTTGTATTAGTTTTTTCAAAGAGTATCATTTATATATAAAATATATGAGTAACAAGGTTGAAATGGCCAAGGGAATGGAGACTTACTGTAAGGAAGTGAAGATCTGCACTGACATAGAGGTTTGGTGATTTCAATCCTTCATTCATGTGTTTGAAGAAGCATTTGCACCAGTTGTAGCTGGTGAAATGTTTCAGTTCTTCAGTCTTCAAGTACTCAAGCATGTTGAGTTCAGCCATAGGTGCTGAAGTTGGACACAGCAAGCCTCCGGTGACCAGCAGAAAGAACAATTGCATCCATCTCTTATTCTGTGTGGTTGTAGGAAGATCTTTTTCTACCTGACTTAGCTTTACCCTTGGAGTGGATGTTCCATCTACTTCGAGTAGGGTTTCTATTGCATAATCTGCTGCGTCATCCCAAGAAATCGTGGGAGGTACAACTTCCCTATTCCCCATCGACAGACCATATACTCTATGAAAGTCGATTGGTGATATCTTGATGCGTGTCCCGTCAGGTAACTTGAACGATTCTTTCTTTGAATTGTATTTGTTCATTACGAATAGTGCAAAATGGTTGTTTATCTTTGTCTGCTTGATTGATATTAAGCCTGCTAGGCCTAATATCTCAAGTTGCTCTTTCCGCTCATCTGTTATTGACCTTGCAATTGCAGATATTCTTGTTGGGCTGCACCTTGTGCGAAAACTGTGTCTTGGTTTTACCATAGTGTACCTGAATGTAGAAATTAGTAATAGTCTGTTAGTATGCTTTTTACCATAATATACCATATGGTACCATAATGGTTTCCTACCATACCAAATCAAACCATATATTTATCTCATTTTACCATATGGTAATTACATCAAACCATGTCTTATAACATATTACCATATGGTAACGAAGTAAAACACAACAGGACGTATGTTTTCCTCCATTTTTATAGCATGAAACCATAGCTTACCACACATTACCATATGGTAATAAACTAAAACACAGCAGGACTTATGGTTTTTTTGCTATTTTACAACATGAAACCATAGCTTACCACACATTACCATATGGTAACAAACTAAAACACAGCAGGACTTATGGTTTTTTGCTTTTTTACAACATGAAACCATAGCTTACCACACATTACCATATGGTAACAAACTAAAACACAGAAGGACTTATGGTTTTTTGCTATTTTACAACATGAAACCATAGGTTATCACACATTACCATATGGTAACAAACTAAAACACAGAAGAACTTATGGTTTTTTGCTATTTTACAACATGAAACTATAGCTTACTACACATTACCATATGGTAACAAACTAAAACACAGAAGGAGTTACGGTTTCTTGCCTTTTTATAACGTGCAATCATAGCTTACCACGCCATACCATGTGGTAACGAAGCAAAACACAACAGATTCTACACCAGTTCAGCAATGCATGCTAACGATTCGGTAATGTAGCGAGTTTTACTACAATTTTCACATGAAGAGTGACTGAAATACTGTTTCTATTGTTCTATGGATGGATTTCGAAGAAAGAAGTGAGGTTTTACCTTGATATTTTGTGCGAAAACGATTTTTGAGCCTCGTTGAAGTTGGAAACCCTTCGTTTTTCGACGAAGAAGCGAGAACAGTGTATCGTTGAATGATTCTTCGAAAAGCTTTGCGAAAATCGTTCGATTTGAAGTTTTTTTCTGGAAGTTTTTGCTGCGATTTTGGTGAGAGAATTGAGGATCGGGAGGAAGAATGGAGAGTTAGAGAGCAGAGGGAAGTGGAACTGTCGCTTGAAAGGTGAGAGAAAGAAGGAGAGAAGGCGGGACGGTTGTCGCTGTCACGTCTGCAATTCAAATTGTCAGAGACGTGATTACCTTTTTGCCCCCGCGTGTATTTAATTGGCATGATCTGACGGCTGGGAAGATGGCACGATGGATGATCAGATGAACGGTTACTGACCGTTACTGATAAATCGGTTACCGATAGGATCCGGACCCGTTCCAAATCCCTCGCTATCATCCTCAACTGGACTTGCTTCTTGGAACATATCAAGGAAGAAACCTCCTCCCCATTTCCCACAAGTTGACCTTGACCTTGACCAATTGTAGCTTCCTCTGCAAGACACAGCTGTCGGACTAGGATTGGCCAATAACAATTTAGTTTTAGTCCCTTGAATGCACAGAAGAAAAGTCTCCATTGGCTTACCAGAGGTCTATATATCTAGCCGCCGCTTAACTTGAGAACAACTACACATCTCCAACCATCCTGTTTATCCCACAGTTGAGAATTGAGTGAACCAGAAAGAAGAAGAAGAAAGAAAAAAAATGGCAGAGGAAGAAAACAGAGTGATTCTGCACGGGTTCTGGGGTAGCCCATTCGTGAAGAGGGTAGAAATGGCCCTTAAACTCAAGGGCATACCCTACGAGTACGTTGAAGAGGATCTACGCAACAAGAGCCCCGCCTTACTTACCCACAACCCCGTCACCAAAAAGGTCCCCGTCCTCGTCCACAACGGAAAACCGGTGGCAGAGTCCCTCATCATCATCGAATACATCGACGAAGTTTGGAAGACCACCGGGCCCAAATTGCTCCCCGACGATCCGTACAAACGGGCCCGAGTCCGGTTCTGGGCCGACTTTCTCCACCGCCAGGTGATGGAGGCGGTGCTGGTGATCTTGAAAACTGATGGGGAGGCGCAGGAGAAGGCGGTGAAGGAGCTGGAGGAGAAGCTGGTGGTTTTGGAAGGCGGGCTGAAGGAAGAAGGTGTGTTTGGGGATAATGGAGGGATTAGCAGCGCGGGGATGCTGGAGATTGTGATGTGTTGGTGTTTCGGGGCGTACGATTTGGGGGAGGAGGTGCTGGGGGTGAAGATTGTGGATTGGGAGAAGAAGGCTCCGTTGGTGTATTCGTGGTTGCAGGGGATCAGAGAGATTCCTGTGGTGAAGGAGATTGCGCCTCCTAAGGAGAAGATGCTGGCCACGTTGCGGTTCATTCGACAGAGTGCTCTTGAATCTAAAAATCTTGCCGTGTCCTCCTCCTGAAGAGGAATCCATCTTGATTCAGGCTGCGTGCAGCGTGCTGGCTGGATTGATTGCCCTTCTGTTTAGCTTCTTGTTGTTGCCTTTTGTGCTCCTCTGTTTCGTGGTAGTTGTTTTGGACCAGGACGAGGTCCGGTGCTTGTTTCATCTGGGTTGTCCCTTGTTTGTTGTCGAGTCCAAGTATTGATTCCTTTTTATCATTGAATATGAAACCCCCTATATAAAGGAGTCGAACTTGTTAAACTGAAAGATCAACTTATCCAACAATACCACAGTTCTTTACAATCTTAAGTCATTTGAACTTAATATCACTAGCTTTGTACCCGGCCAAATCTTATTATTTATACGGATAAAGAGGATGTTCGGTTCAAACTACTTGGGTTATCATAATCATTTGTGTTGTAATTTATTTTCCAACAAATGATAGTGGGGTTAATTTCTCTATTACCAACTCATGCCCTTAAAGTCTTGAAATTGAAGGATTCTCAAAATTTATCGTAACCGTCAATCAATAATTGTTAATCTTTAGCTTGGAACATACTAGATTTTATAAGTAAAGATGCTTATAGAACACTATATTTTTTTTTATTGTCTCACTCCAAAAAATTGGAATTCTCATTGAGGATTCTCATTTAGACATCATCCTTAGTATATTGGGTTGCTACCTTGTAGCATGTAAGTCCCCTAGTTCAAAAAATCTCTATTCTCATTCTAATTTCTAATAGAGCTAATAATAATTTCAGAACTATAGTATCAGTCACACTCTATGTTCGAAAACCAACAAGATTATAACAAAAAGGTCTCTAATAGTAATGCATGTATGCTCTCAAGCCTTGTTATAAGAACCGAACCGGATCAACGGCCGGGCCAGTAGAACCGTTAAACCAGTTACAATAGCGGTCCAGTTCATTGTTTGAACGGTTATTGATGGACCAAACGGTTTTTCACGGTCAACATAAAATCAGATGAACCAACACGGTTTAATTGATCCACTGATTCACTATTTTAACAAAAAAAAATGCTTTAACATAAACTAAGACCATCAAATCATAATTATTAATTTTATATATGCTTCATCAACCTTATTGTCGACTTTACGTTGTCTACTACCGACTAGAACCATAATTTTTAATTTGAATTAAAAGATGTGGTTTCTTTTGTGAGATGGTTGGAATGATTTATTAGATATTTTGGTGATGATATGAATTTGAACTTGTTTATGGTCAATGATAATTTCATTTTAAAATTAGTGTAATATACAAGTCTTATATGTTATATATCATGAACGGTTCTATCAACGGTTCACCAACAGTTTTGTAATAGTTAACAGGTGAACTCTAAACCACTAACTTTTCCGGTTCAGACTCCGGTCCGGTTCTGAAAACAGAGCTCTCAAGTGAAGATTTCAATAGTATAGTTATTTTTAAAAAATTGTTTCTCTGATTTGTAACCACAATATTGGTGTACGAAATCTCAAATGATCATTCAATACTCAGTCAACAGTTTAGTGTTTTCTACGTAAGTAATACATATTTTTAAGGCACTGTACTCAACTCTTAGTCGATAAAATCGAATGCCAGTTATCATAGACAGGTGCTCCAAAAATTTCATCGTGGTTATTCATGATAGATTAATCCACTAAAATTATTTTTAGTGGTACGAAAAAATTGAACCACGATTTTAGCATAAAATATATATAACAATTGACTTTTCTTATACAACCTCAATATGGTTTTACAATTCAAGAATTTATTTATTCCTTTGAAGGAGGGGTTAAATTGTTCTCAAATAATTTAAATTTTGGTTTATGTAAAGCATTTATCCACAAAAATTTTAGAACTAATTTTTTGAAAATAAAAAACATATATATTGAAACTGATTTTCTTTTATCATATTCGATAACTTGGTCTCGTAAAAGAGCATGAGAAGTTGATTATTATTTTTTTGGTAGAGAGAAGTTGATTATTCTTTAACTGAAGGCTTTATTTTTCTTAAGAAAGAGTCAGAAGCACAATTCCAGATGAGGGGAGAGATCTTCTTTTTCAACCTGTCAGGTGCTGAGGAAATAAAGAGGGTAGTCTTTGGGATGAATCCTCAAAAGGCTCCCGGCCCAGATGGATTCTCACCTGGGTTCTATAACCGAGCATGGCAAATAATTGGAGCTGACATCATCAGGGGGTACTTGACTTCTTCCAGCAAGATAATCTCCATAGTGGTGTCAATTCTACAACAGTTTCTCTAATTCCAAAGACACCAAATGTTGATACACTTAAAAACTTTAGGCCTATATCTTGTGTGAACTTATTATATAAGATAGTGGCTAAAATTCTTTCAAATCGGCTTAAGGAAGTGTTGCCAACAATTATTAGTCCTACACAATAAGCATTCATCAAGGGAAGGAGCATTATGGATAACATTTTGCTAGCTCAAGAACTTGTTAGTGGCTATCATAGACAAGGGCTTTCATCTAAATGTGCTATCAAAATTGACATAATGAAAGCATTTGATTATGTGAATTGGAATTATCTCTTTTTATGATGAATGCTATGGGATTCAGGGAACAATTTTTGAAATGGGTCAAATGTTGCATTCAAACAGCACATTACATCTTAAATATCAATGGTAGTCTTTGTGGTTACTTTAGAGCTAGAAAGGGGGTTCGACAGGGTGATCCCCTTTCACCCTACTTGTTTACCATTGCCATGAAAGGGCTCTCTACTATGTTGATGTAGGCTGGACAATCAGGGGAACTTTCTTTCCATCCACGGTGTAAAAGGGTTGCATTGAATCATTTGTGTTTGTTGATGACATCCTGGTCTTTGCGGAGGGATATGCACGAGCCATTCTTCAAGTTAAGCAAGTTCTGCATAAGTTTTATTGTGTTTATGGTCTCCAATGTAATCCATCCAAGTGCGAAGTCTACTTTGGAGGAGAATCCATCAAGTACAAATCAAATGCTCTGCTTCTTTCGGGGTTCCAGGAGGGTAAATTGCCAGTTTGCTACTTGGGATTACCATTGATCACAGGAAAACGGTCTCCAACAAAGGTTGACATACTGGTAGACAGAATCACTAAAAGAATCAAAACTTGGCAAGCTAAAAAGCTCTCTTATGCAGGCCGATTGTAGTTATTAAACTCAGTCTTGCTGGGGATAGTACAGTTCTGGATGCAATTATTTGTTCTTCCTAAAAAGGTGTTGAAACAGATACAGAAGGTCTGCTCTCAATTTCTTTGGCATGGCACTGACGAAGGGAAGGAGAAGATTGCTTGGGAAAAGCTAGCGTTTCCAAAAAAGGAAGGAGGGTTGGGAGTAAAAGATCTTCATGCCTGGAATCTGGCTTGCACTGCTAGGATGTTATGGCTATTTCTGGTCAAATCTGGAACTCTCTGGGTAGCATGGATGCAAGAGTATAAATGAAAATAAGGTGATTTGTGGTCGATGAAATCCCAGTACAGCAGTTCCTGGACCTGGAGATGATTACTCTAAACAAGAGATAAACTAAGGCCATGGATGCAACAAAGAAATGGTGAAATCTATTGGGGAGCGAAGCTCATGACTATGTACTCTGTTCGTCAGGTTTGGGAATCTTTGCGTGCAAAACAGCCAGAGGTGCCATGGTTCAAGCTCGTTTGGTGCAATTTTTGTCCCCCTCGTTACAGTTTCATTGCATGGCTTATTTTAAAGAATGTTATAGTTACGAAAGATAAGCTACTGAGCTGGAGGAAGCTGACAGATGTTTCTTGTTCATTATCCGCATTCCCAATGGAATCTTGAGAAATTTTTTTCCTGCATTGTTCCTTTTCTCGCAGGCTTGTCTCAATTTTACAGTGCAGACTACTTGATGCTAGAAATTGGGACGCAATGCTTGCTACAACAAGTTTTGTGGTTCGGCCCTCTAGGAAAGCAGGCTGGCATGGGGTTGTGTGGTGTATGGTGCTAGCTTCTATATGTGATACGAGCACAATTGTGCTTGTAGGAATCAAAGCGCGCAACTCAATTCTTCCTCAATGAAGCTTGAAATTCGAACAACTTAAAACGAAAATAAAACGGACCAAATGTGCAATCTTTCACATGGAAGAAAGCTCAATTGGTTTGGGCGAGGCTCGCCACGATTGATGTGGTTTTCAATCGATACGAAGCAGACTTGTTGCTGGAACTCAACCAACACTCAAGAACTTGGTGACAAAGTCACAATATCATTCAATCTTCTCTACCTTTACACGAGGCTTTCAAGCCCTTTAAATAAACTCTCAACTACGTTGATTAACCCTAAACAAACAAGGAAAACGAGTTCTAACTCTAATTGAACAAGGAAACAAAATCCTAACTTTGAAAAGGAAACAAAACTGGATAACTTCACACTCAAGTTGTTGCCTTCCTGCGCAAGTAACCATTCCAGCTTCCATAGCCACTTTGAAGCTCTTAATCGTCGTGTTCCAGGAAGCTTCGATCCAAACCGGCTTCATTTGTTTGCTCTCTTGACCTTGTAGTACACGTTCCAACTCCCATATTCCCTCGACGATGCTCCATTTGGGTTGAACAAGCCTCCAAAGATGGTCTCTTGGTCGGTTTCCAGACTTAGCCAAAAAACAGACAACTTCCCAGCAATTTGAGGCTTTGTGATCAAGCACCTAGGGTCCCTAATTCGTGCATCCACCCATTCGACATTGAAAATGAACACTTGAACGTCACTTTTACTCCTTCCTTGCGCATTTCCATTGGTTAAAACATAAGATACGAATATGTAAAGTAAGCACCATGAGATAGTTCGTATACTTAACCAAATTTGACCTTTCTTCCTTCCAACTTTGATGGATCCTTTGGGATTTAATTCGAGCTTCAACAAGAGGCTAAATATGATCACATCAGGGCCCCCTTCTTTAAAAAGCTTTGCCCTTAATGTTGGTTCACTTCTGCGATGAAAACATCAACAAATGATGCCCAGCAAGGCTCAGAAAAGTCAGTCTCTGTTTCCGGAAAATAGAACGTCAGAGATCTTCCAAAATCGGCAAGGTGGTGAGTCTGGCTTTTCCACAGTGCTTGATTTTGTGAATCATGCTTGCCTCGCAGCCCAGACCCTCCTCCATCCACTCCCATTACCAAAGTACACTTATTCACAGTGAAGTCGCCATTTGTGTTTTTCACGCTGTCGAAATATTTAAATTTTCCAGAATCGGTCGAGAGGAACCCAGAATCCGGCGATGGCAACTTGAAATTGGGGAAAATCAATTCAGGCGTCCTCGAGTCGCTTTCGTTGCTTCTACACCATCCCCAGGACTCCAGGAATCGAATCCAACTGATCAATTGCGTCGCATAATTTCTGAACTCGTAAGTCACCATTGTGACCTTTTATTGCTCTGTGAATTGCCCACATTGGAAGAAGAGGATTATTTTTCTCTCCCAATCCAAATATGTCGTTGGGTTCAAAGTTCCCTGAAATTGAGGAACGACCAGCTTAATTCCTGGTGGGATCGCCGGCGGCTCTGCTTGCCGATCTCGATGAGGCCGGTCATGTTGGGGCTCTGCAACGACAAGCCGCCTCTCTTGATCTTCAACTCTGTCCAATAAGGCCTTATTGCCAGCTTGATTGACGTCACCACGCGCTTCTCCTCTGACTCTGTTTGCTGGTGGCGCGAGTGCGTCAAATCGCTCATCGATTTCGCATCGAAATTGGCCCAATTGCTCCTGGAACCTAGCATCAATCTGGTCCAGGAACTCGTTCATATTAAATTGTGGGGCTGCCATGGATGAATTTTGGTTTTGGAACTCGTCATCTCTCTCGACACTTTCCACAGTTTTCAGCTGTCAAAGAGCAGGGTCTTTTGAGACTGATCCCTTCGACCTCGTCCACGGCATCGTTGCTGCCACGCCGCCCTTCGTTATGTCCACTGTGTTTGAACTAGGCGATGATGCCACTTGATACGAGCACACTTGTGCTCGTAGGAATCAAAGCGCGCAACTCAATTCTTTCACGTGGAAGAAGGCTCGATTGGTTTGGGCGAGGCTCGACCACGATTGATGTGGTTTTCAATCGATACGAAGCAGACTCGTTGCTGGAACTCAACCAACAGTCAAGAACTTGGTGACAAAGTCACAATATCATTCAATCTTCTCTACCTTTACACGAGGCTTTCAAGGCCTTTAAATAAACTCTCAACTACGTTAATTAACCCTAAACAAACAAGGAAAACGAGTTCTAACTCTAATCGAACAAGGAAACAAAATCCTAACTTTGAAAAGGAAACAAAACTCGTTGACTTCACTCTCAAGATGCTGCCTTCTTGCGCATGTAACCATTCCAGCGTCCATAGCCACTTTGAAGCTCTTAATCGTCGTGTTCCAGTAAGGTTCGATCCAAACTACTTCAGTCGTTTGCTTTCATGACCTTGTAGTACACGTTCCAACTCCCAGCTTCCCTCGACGATGCTCCATTTGGATTGAACAAGCCTCCAAAGGTGGTCTCTTGGTCGGTTTCCAGACTTCGCCAATAAAACAGACAACTTCCCAGTTTTCCATAGCAACTTGAGGCTTTGTGATCAAGCACCTAGGGTCCCTAATTCGTGCATCCACTCATTCGACATTGAAATGAACACTTGAACGCCACTTTTACTCCTTCCTTGCGCATTTCCATCGGTTAAAACATAAGATACGAATCTGTAAAGTAAGCACCATGAGATAGTTCGTATACTTAACCAAATTTGAGCTTTCTTCCACCCAACGTTGATGGATCCTTTGGGATTTAATTCGAGCTTCAACAGAGCTAAATATGATCACATCAATATGGAGAGAGTGTTGCAGGGTTGTTCATGACGAGTCACGCCAGGATCCTGAAAAAGTTGATGCTTTACTTCAAGCGGATCTACAATACCTAGTAGCTGGAAATGCCATGATGCGAGATGACTTGGCATGTTTGGGGTATCTTTGAGCTTGTGGTTTTGAGTTTTTGAGAGCTTTCTGTAAGTAGCTGATATAGAATTGTAAGTGGAGCTAAGTAGAAACTCGGACAGACACAGAATCCATGGGATTCTGTCTTCGTTGTATTGGTTTCCGTTTTTGCAATAATAATAGAGAAACTGATTCAACGGAAAAAAATCAAATTACTTGGGTATATAGTTTACAATATCAGTCGAGAGAAAACTGCAGTGCGGAAAAGAGGGCAGGGGGGGGAAGAATTAAATCTACAACCCCGCAAATCGCAGGGAAGCTTTTAAAGCGTAGTGGCAGAGGCTTTTTTCTAAAGACTTTTAATATACTGTAAGACTCACCATAAAGAATGACTAACCATATCCTCATTATGGAAAAAAAAACATATCCTCATATCTCAATACCCACCCCATATGTTTTTACTTTTTACAACCTCATCCTTATGTCCGCGATTTTCGAGTACCCGTTGTTAATACGTGCCACGTAAATTCTATATTACTATGGCTTAAATTCATCATGTATATCGTCAATTAAATATTAAATAACACTAATGTTGTTATAACCGAATCAAACCAGTTGGTTCAACCTGTATAAATGATTTGAAGCAAAAAGTTAACACTTGAGAAAATTAAGAGTGATAGGTTTTGAACTGATCACCACTTATTAAACACCAAACAAGACACTCTCTAATTAGGCTACTACTCCTTTGAGGAATTTTACAATGCTATATAGTATTGGTGCTATAGGTTTTGTACCTTTATGGTCCAACTTGAAATTGTACCTTTAATGTTACGGTACAACTTCAGATTGTACCTATACTTTTTGTACAAATTCTTTTATGGTACAACTTAAAATTGTACTTTATGTGATGGTACAACTTCAAGTTGTAAAGTTGTACCATAACATAATGATACAAATTCCTTTATGGTACAACCTAAACTTATACATTTATTGTTATGGTACAACTTCAAGTTGTACATTAAAGCACCAATACTATATAGCATAGTAGAAGTGCTCCTACTCCTTTTTATGCATTCAATTATCAATCACCTTGATTGATACATATGGTTCCACAAAGTTATAAAATCTTCCCTATTTGGAAAAGAACTTGGGCAGTTGATATACCCCGAAACTGAAATTTTTTCTTTGGAAATGTCTTAAGGCGGCTCACTTAGATCTTGAGGAATTAATTGCAATGTTGCCAAAAGCGAACCGAAGTATGGCTCGATAACATAAACGACTCGATATTTAGCGGTCCAACCGACATTAAACCATTTAAAAACCGGTATTTAATAAACAATCCATATAAATAGTGGCAACATCACAAATAATTATAATTTCATTTTCATGGTCATTCAGTTCATTCCACAACCCCAATATCACTTACCTAGTGGGAGAAGAGGACAGTAGTGACCGGTGCAGGGGAGGGCAGCAGTGGTTGGTGCATGGGAGACCTCACCGGGTTCGCCGGCGGTTGCGCTCGCTGGCAGGAGCTCGCCCAATTGACGGGGACGAAGAGGCTGGCTTCGTCACTGGTTTCCCTAAATCGACGAGTAGGGAGCGACCTACAGGGAACAACGACGATGGCGACGGGGGACTCGCGACACGAGATGGCGACGGCGATAGGGAACGACGACGACGAGGAATGCGATTTGGACTGGCGAAGGAAGCGGCGCCTCCTTCAATCTGCACGAAGACGAGATCAAAATAGGAATTATGGTTGTTGGTTTCAAATAGCTCGACCCGACCCTCCCCTTTCATTTTTTAGTTTTAGTGTTTTTCCATTTTTTTAATTAAACCAACCGGCCCAATGGAAAAAGCCGGACGAACGGCTCGAGCGTTCAACCGCTCCGACCCCTTGCCGACCGCCCCAGAGACCCATTCCGGCTAAATAGCTGAGTCGAGCTGATTTTGCAGCCAGGTGGCAGTTTTGACGATCCGGCCGGTCGACTCGGCTTTAATAATACTGGTTAATTATCTTCCCTGATGTCCAGTTTGTTGGGTTCGGCAAGAGGATATTGAGCATTTGTTCTTTCATTGTCCCATTGTTGTTTCCCTATGACATTTAGTGGGTTTAAGCGATTTGCTTGCCTCCGACCCAACTTCGAATTTTAGTATCTGGTGGTGATGTGCTATGCTTTCTATAAACTTTCAAACACATTCTCTCATACGTTTGTCTTCTTTGGAGAATTTGAAAGGCTGTAATAAGGTGGTTTTTGAATATACTCAGTCACATGATTGTTCCCTTGCCCATCAGTTTCATTTCCAAGTTCATGAACTCTCTTCTTCCTCCTTTCCTCCTCTGATTACTCGCCCTAGTGTTCGCTATCTATCTCTAGGAATCTGTCACAAGTCATCATTGAAAGTAATTATGAAGTGCTGATCCATCAATTTATTCGTCGTTCTATAAAAGATTCGTTGGACGGTCCCTTACTTCGAGAGTATATATAGTTATTAGATTCTCGTTCTTCTTTTAGTTTTTAGGGCGATATAAATAGAAGTGCAAACTTTGTATTTTTAGGTAACCACTATTAAATCCCACATTTATATGCAAACGGGTCTTTAATATGTTTTTTTGAATGTGGTATTTTGGCACAAATCACACACTAAACAAATCTCTAATCCAAACCATCCCTAAATTTTCAAATTTGGTTACCATTTGTTAGTAACTCCAAACTTCAGTGGTCAGTTCTATAATTGAACCGTAGCATCCCCTACTCCCTCCCACCACTCGAATATACCATTTCAGCCCTATCCCATGGCATGCTTTCCAGCTCTTCCTGCCCTGTGAAGAACACAAAACTGAAAACCCACTGACTACTTCCTTCCCTGTTCCTGTTTATCCTTTCTCCCCACTGGTGGCAGGAATCAAACGACGAGCAAGTGATGACGTCGTCGTCATCATCGTTCTTTGCTTCTCATCTCTCCGTCGTCCCGCAGCGCGTCCCACTATCCTCTGCTCACTTCCGGCGTCAGTTCACTATCCCTCCCTCCTCTTCTATCTTCCCTTTTCAGAACGTTGCGATTTCTTGAAAAAATTTGTGCCCCATTTCCATTTGGCAATTGAACCGCTTCTTTATGTAATTTGTGGCTTGGATAAACATGTTAAACTTTGGAATCACCCTAAATGTTCGTCCTTTTCTTTCTCTTTGAACAGCACTCCACTCAAATTCAGTTGGGTTTGTCGTTAAATCAAGTCTGGAGAACGATGGTTCCGCTCCTGAAAGTTCGGGAACTTCAGACTTTCCAGTCACACCAAAGGTTGGTTGCCATTCTGCTGTATACTCTGCGTTTAGTGCTCATAACGAATCAGTTAGCTATAAACCAAGTAATTTTCTGAGGGAAGAACATAGTAGTAGGCTAGTAGCTAGTATTGAATGGAAAAAGCAAGGCCCTTTGATGTTCCATAAGCCATAGGATTTAGTTCCTTTTTAATATTTATGCTAGCTTATACGTACTCTTTGCTATGTTGGGATGAAACATATGGCTAGGAACCACTATGCTCCATGGTCTTCTATCATGTTTGCTCTTGCCAGTGCTGTTAACATTTTGTCTGTGTGTGTGTGTGGTGGAACTGGTGTTAGCTTTTTCAGTGCTCTAAATGTCTGTTTGATTGTACAGGAATCCCAAACATCAACATCAAGACGTTGGTGTCTTACGTGTATATGTTCAACTGTGGCTTTGATCGGTAATTCCTCAGTTTCGCTTTCTGTGCCAAGGGCAAATGCTTCAGATGGAAAAGAAAAGCCTGTGTGCCGTAATTGTCAGGGCTCTGGTGCTGTACTTTGTAAGCCTCCAGTTTCTTTTCATCCATCTCCATTGAAACCCTCCTTGCCTCCCAAGTTCCAATCTTCGCTCATGGAAATTTCTTCAACTCATCTTGTAAATTTGAACACTAATAATGTTGGTTGTATTCCATTTAGGTGACATGTGTGGTGGTACTGGCAAATGGAAAGCCCTCAACAGGAAGCGTGCGAAAGATGTCTATGAGTTCACAGAATGCCCTAATTGCTATGGTGAACTCTCTTCCTTTACTGTCCTTTCAGTATACCCATATGTCTGTTCCCTATTACTTGTTTCTCTGCAATGAGAAAGTCCCATATTTCGGGGCATTCAACAAATGGATGGTTCATAAACAGAATTGCTGGTGCAGAGTATCATTTGAATGCAAGTGCAAACCTACACGTAGAACTATAGAACCAATTAGCTAAACTTTCTGCTTCTTTTGCTCTGCCACAAGATGTTTTCTATGTGTTTCTGTACTGCATATTAGATGATCAATAGGAGGGACATCTATTTGAGCTAATACTTCTTCTTTATGGTGCAGGTAGAGGTAAACTTGTGTGTCCTGTCTGTTTGGGCACTGGTTTACCGAATAATAAAGGTCTTCTTAGAAGGCCTGATGCAAAACAGCTGCTTGATAAGATGTACAATGGTCGGTTAGTGCCCAACTCATAAGTAAGTGCATTCTCTTCAGTTCCTGTACAGACCGTATTTTGTTTATTCTGCAAAGACCTCTCATCATTCTGCTGTCTATTGAAAGAGCACCTGTATATGTTGATTGAAGGGATCAGAAAATAAATGGGAAGAGGATAATGGTGATCAGGGCCTTAGTTGACAACATACTCATATACACCAACAAGAAATTATGGCATGATTCGAGCTTAGTAAATAGAGTCATTGACTGGTGAGTTTGAACATCAAATTCAGCTCAATATACCAGAAAACAGCCTGAGCATGAAACTATTATTCTTGCTAGTTCCTCTAAATTAGACTTCGCGATTTGCTTGATAAACCATGTCTTCCTACTTCATCCATGGTTTTTTTGAATGTCAGGAAGAATGGCCCATGCGAGTATATCTAAACATTTGGAAGCAACCTGGCAACCGTACATAGTCGGTATATGATAAACGGAAAGCTATCTGGAGGGGGAAAATCCCATGAGAGGGTTGTTAAGTTGCTGGATTTGGCAAAATCATCTTGTATCATCCTTATTTGCCCACCATAAAGGCATCGACTATATGTCAACTTGAGGTGGATTCTTAGTAGGCAACAGAATTAAGTTTATAAGTCATGCTTGGCTTAGGATTATCCAAGCTGTTCTATAGTATTCTGTTTATTGATGGATCAGGCAAGTCCCTTGCAGCTTTTGCTTTGTACAACATAGATCATATGCTAATTCGATATATGAGCGAAACAGCTTTCAGCAACTTTTGCGATGATAGTTCTGTACTCTTTCTTTGCAATGTCATTGTTTCATATAACTGTTGTTGGTAGGTTTACTCGGGAGGGGCGAGGTTAACATGTATGTGAAAAACAAAGGGTTAATACCTTATTATGGCCTGAACTATGACCATGTAATCAACTTTGGCCCGTGGTTTGTGAAATTAACATCCTGGCCCGAACTATGCAGCATAGAGACAGAATTGGCCTTGAGCGTGGTTTGATCGTTTGTTTAGTCAACTGTCCAGGTCACTGCCATGTCACCAAAAAAAATTATTTCTTCATTTTTCTCTTTATTTCCATTACAAAATCGAATAATAAAGAAAAAAAAAAACAGAAAACCCAGGCCACCCATCCTCACCTTATCCCCTAACCTTCTTTCATTTTCGGTCAAACCCAAAACCCTATCTTCCATCTTCTTCCTCCTTCTTCCCCGACGAGCCGCCGCCTCCATAGCCCGAACGAAAACAAATCCCTTCTTCCCCGACGACTTGCCCCGCCGCCTCCATATCCGAAACAACTCCCTTCTTCCCCGACGACCCACCGCCTCCATACCCTAAACGAAATCGAGCTCCCTTCTTCCTTTCTATCGAAAAACGGCTCGATACCACTTTCGCAATCTCTTCTTCCTTTCGAGCTCCCTTCTTGCTTTCTATCAAAAAACGGCTCGAGACCCCTTTCGCGATCTCTTCTTCCTTTTCTACCCGACCCATCTCGAGCTCTCTTCACCTCTGTGCAATAATGTCCAGGCGAGTTGGGAAAATTGCCACCAAAGCTTCATCCTCTTCTGGTTCGTCAAGCACGAAGCCCATAAGATGCAACTTCCACCGAGCCCCCTGCGTTGTCAACACTTCTCGAACAGATGACAATCCTGGAAGATTGTTTTATTCTTGCCCGTTTTGGAAGGATGAAGAGAAGAACTGTCGTTTTTTTCGCTGGGTTGATGCAGTCACAGAGAGTGACTTTATGCTTGGTGGACTTATGGAAGAGAATGAGCGGCTAAAGTCGACATTGGAGGCATTTGAAGGACAACTTCGTAGGGCAGAAGAGAAGGCAAAGAAAAGGAAACAGGAGAAGTTGGCTATGCTTGAAGACTTGACGAAGGTGACCGAGATCAATTCAGCTAGTTTTGGTGAACTGCAAAGTATGCGAAATGCGATTTGTGCGCTACAAAATCGGCTAACAGCCTGTATAATCGTTGTAGTTATGTTTCTTATTGTTTTGGTGATTGTCCAATTGTAAGCTTGTTGTCTAATTTGTGTAATTTCCTATGAAATCAAAGAACTGCTACCTTATTTCCTTCCAATTGTAAGCTTGTTCTTTCATTGAAGCATAACTGGGACAAACATATACAACTTCATTCATTCATAAACATAATCTGTTTAGGACAAGGTTCATTTCCAGACCATTTACAAAAGGGGCACAACCTTAGTTAAGGTTCATTTCCAGACCATTTACAAAAGGGGGAATCCTAACTTTGGACCTACTTTACAATCCTACACTCCAACGAATCACAGTGATCCGTAACATGCACATAGCACGCACAAAACAGGAGTCTTATCTACTTCCTAACATTAATCTTCTGACTTCCTAAGGCGAGTCTGGTTGAGTAGTGGGAGGCTGTGTGGTATTGACAGGAGGCAGGCCCGGTTCTGTTGCTCGTACACCACCAGATGGTGGAACTCTGTTGCTAAGCTGCAAAATAGTAGGATCTTCAAGTTAGGAATAGAGTTCACAAAAAACAATACTCTGTCATAAATCTAGAAAACTCTGTTACATACCCTTGCATACATGTTTCCAGTGTCCATGTCAATGTAGGTTCCAATACCTTGCATCGCCCTTCTCATTTCACGATCAGTTACCCTTTTACTACACGAACCAACATGGGGGGCCTACACGTTCATACACATTCAGTGATTTCATTCTATCATTCATTCATTCATTCATTCACTCACTCATTCATTCATTCATTCATAGTTAAAAGATGGTTACCTGAATCCCTACAAGTAGTGGACAGCGTCTTGCATTATGGTGCTCTGATCTACACTTGCTGCAACGACCCTTCTTCTTTTCTCGTGGCTGCTGTAAAATGTTACATTAATAAACAATTGAATAAAATGTTACACTAACAAACCATGTGATGGATCCTCTTCCAGTTACCTGATTCTCCCTTCCAGCGTCTTGATTTGATTGAGGAACAGGTGCTGCCGGAGTCGGGCGTGCTTGCTTCTTCTTCTTAGGAGCTGCAGTCTTCGGGGCAGCAGGCTCATTCTTACATGTCCTCGAATTGTGGCCTTCTCCACCACAATTCCCACAATGAACCGAGAGGTTCTCCCTACTAGCAACCTCCCCAATTCCATTTTTAGCTTGCTTGCTTCGGACCTCCCAAGCCTCCCTTCGACGTTTAGTCTTTGGACGACCAGGCATGCGCCTAATCCGAGGAGGGTATACCTTGTTCCCAAACACCGACATCCATGCTTGTCGGCCTTCCGATGCTGGAATGGGAAACTTGTATGCCATTTTCACAAAGTCCATCTTGAAGAAAGCATCAACATAAAGATCCGGTTGTCCTCGCATGCTTCTGATGGATGAAAAAGCATGACTACAAGGAATACCATTTAGTGCCCACCAACCGCACGTACAAGTCCGGTTCTTCAAGTCAACCACGAAGGCCTTGTTCTCGACAGCAACCTCATGCATCGTCTCAGATGACGGACGACTAGTACACATCCTCGATTCATGCTTTGACTTCTCCAGTTTCCCTCTGACCACCGGTGGGAAAGTGTCCTTCCATCGCAACATCTTCCTTCGGTTCTTCACTAGTCGAGTCATAACAGAAACTCGAATTCCCTCCAACATTGCAATCGGTCTGAGAGACCTGAATCGCAATATCCAGTTATTGAATGACTCGCATATGTTGCTCTCCACAGAGTCACTCTTGGAGAATGTCTTCATGAATACACGACAAAAGTGCTCTGGTTCCTGTAGAGTGAATTGCATATTAGATTATGCAAACAGTTGAATACAAGCCATCCAAACATAATAAGCAAAGAAAGATTACCTGAGCCATAAAATCAGCATACTCAGTCCCACCAAGGCCTTTCATTCGAACCATGGCATCCGTCCAATCAGCGTTATTGAGAGAATAGACAGCTTCCCAAAACAAATCAGTAGCTGCTGCCGTCTTGTGCTTCTCCCGGAAGTGAGCATGAACATGCCGAGCACATTTCCGGTGTTCTGCATTTGGCAAGCAGGTATGTAAAGCCTCCACAAGACCCTGTGTTAAATTGAAAAAGTTAGTAAACCATGTGATTTAAATTTAGGTATGGTAGTAATCATAAGCAATAAAGTAGTTACCTTCTGTTGGTCTGAGACAATAGTATACCCACATCCGTCAGCTGTCCCAAGTTGGTCTTGCAATGCGCTTATGAACCAAATCCAAGAGGATTTGTTCTCTGACTCCACTATTGCCCACGCAATTGGGAACATGTGGTTGTTCCCATCCTTACCAACTGCAGATAGAAGCATTCCTTGAACCTCCCCCTTTAAGAAACAACCATCGAGGCAGAAGAAGGGTCTACATCCTGCCAGGAATCCTTTGGTCAAACTGGAGAAGCCAATATAGAGCCTCTTGAAGAACACCTTGTCACAACCCGGATCTACATCCACCTCGAGAAGGAACGAACCTTGCGGATCAACTTTCAAAAGATGTCCTATATATGATCTAATCTGATTAAAATCTTCTTCCAATGATCCATATAGCATGCGACGCGCTTCTAGCCTAGCTCGGTAGCAAGTTTGGTTTGACACCACCAAATTGTACTTCCGCTTAATTTCAGCAGCTATTAGGCCTACATCCCAACCCTGATTTGCCCTAAATGTCTCAAGAAATTCTTCTGCTATCCACCTCTGACCTGCTGCCCGAATGTGAAGTGAACGAGGGCAAATGTGAGCTGGTCCAACTCCTTTCACCATAAATGCTTCGTGCTTGCGAAACCAACATGCATATACCCTCCACTTACATGAATATTCTTTCCTTTGCGCACACACAGCCTCCTTCCTAAAGTCACTGCTCCTTACCCATCTAATATCAGCACCAATCTCAATTGATTGCCTCATTACAGCTGCCTTAAACTGCTCAGGGGATTTAAAGCGCATACAAGTGACGAACTTCAATGCTTTATGATCGCACTTTGGATCATAAAACAAGGTTTTGTCGAACTTGGCGACATTAT